CTTAAAAAAAAAAAAAATGGCACTGGGCCGCATTATGAGCCGACCTGGGCCGCATGCGGCCCTTGGGCCGCAGGTTGGACAAGCCTGCTTTAAACAAAGACATGAACAACAGCTTTTTTAAAAAACGGAGCTGAAATTGATTATGAAATGCTGTCTTCAACCCCCATGATTGCCTGGTATCCACTGCAATTTTTGGTGCCAGGATTAAATGTTTTTGTTCATATTGACATTTTAAATGTAAGGTGTTTTTTTTAAATTATTAAGAGATTTAAAAATTTAGTAAATTAATGATATGTCAGTTGCTTTCTGGATTATATTCTAAACAGGACAGTGATTGCTGTATCATGTTTTACTTAAATAAATTCACTTCTCACCAAATAAAATGCTGGTGTTGAGTTGCAGTTTTAAAGTTGATCAGGTGTGCTGTCACCACCTCGGGATCCATAACAAGATTAGTTCAAAGATGAACCACCACTGATATGGTTAACCCACAAACAACCATATTTTGGTACCTTTGTAATCAACTAGGGTGGATGTGAGTCAAGATCCAACATGTATACATCTCTCAGTGTGAAATTATCCTGTATACTGGAACTCAGCACAATTCAAACTCAACTGCTTTCTTCATTTATTAACAACAAAATTCAGCATACTTGTTATAAAACCCTTTATGAAAAGTAAGCACTGTGGCAAGGTTTTAAAATCATACAATACTGAATTCAGTCTTGATCAAACCAACACAAAATTATTTTGTCTTTGCTATCGTCGAATTACCTTAATTATCGTTCCCCATGTCCTTGTTAATCATAATCACTCTTTCCCCCCTTTTTGAAGTGCGGTTGATCAAAATTACTGTTTGTAATAACTAACTGTAAGTGTATATTGTTCTCACAGAAAAAGAGAGGTAGTAATGGACCCCTGCGGTATAAAACATAAGATGTTGCTTCAGGACCAGAAACTATATTAATTTCCCACCACTAAATATTTGGTTTTAGTACACAGAAGAGTTAGTCTTGTCAGGGATTTTGAAGGTTGCTGATTAAATTAATCAGTTTAAGGAGAGGTCTGACCAGTGACAGGTCTCCTGTGTGTCTGTGCATTTGACTATAATAGACTTGTAATGCTTTTAGTTGGACCATGAAATTCTGTGATGTGAAGCTTATCTCTGATCTTTGACTTCTGCCATACTCTTGGGATCCTGTGTGTGTCTTTCAGGGGAAAGGGGAGCATGAATTTCTTAACATTTGACATCTGGCTCCATCAGGATCTTTGTCTGCAGTCTTAGATGTAGCACTTTCCAAGGCATTAATCGACATTAAGCTGTTAAGCTGTATGACCTAAAGAAATATGGCCATAAAGAAATATTGTACTTAGTCTTTTCTTCACCAGTGGATTATTATCTTGACATGTAATCCTTTTTCACTTTTGTCTGTCTTTTTCACAGCTGTTGTGAACTTGGACAACTCGGTGGTTGACCTAGAAACTCTTCAAGCCCTTTATGAGAATGTGAGTAACAATTCAAAGATGCACATGTACTAACTGTGTGTTCTTAGGAACATTTTTTTCCGTTTGTTTCAGAACAGCAGAAATGGGAGGAGACAGTTACTTTGTTGTGGCTGTGAATGTGTTGCTGTGAAAGAAGTACTTTTTTACAATTCAAACTGAGTAGGAAATCAACAGTTATTCTTCAAATATAAGACATTATAAATTCATAGTCTTACATACAAAATCTTGCCAGATCTAAGAAGGGAGAAGTCATGTTGATGAAACATCAAATCATAAACCCTCATGGATTCACACCAGCAGGAGAAAACATTACTTTTTTCCTCTTCTTGTTCTTTTTATTTATTTTTTTATTTTTTGGCCAGAGGGAGTTTTCTTTGTAGTTGTATGAGGTACGCTTTTAGAAAAGTAGCTAGCTTTACTGTGAAACAACTACTTTACATGTTAACTGTCCTTAGCATGTAATGTTTTACTTTTTTATACTGCAGTTTGAATGAAAGTCACTATTGCCATGCACACACACACACACACACACACACACACACAGAGAGAGAGAGAGAGAGAGAGAGAGAGAGAGAGAGAGAGAGAGAGAGAGAGAGGAACAAAGGTGCTGTGCATGCAGGGGGAAAGACCTGTTGATTCCTTGGCTTATTTACCTGGTATATGATTATGGTTTTATCTGGTGGCTTAAAGCAGTGATTTGCCTGAGTGCAGTGGTTCGGTTGTCACTGTAGGTATAATAGAAAACATTTCCTCTCCCCCCAGACAGCCATGAAGGAAATAGCACATAGATGGACTAGCCACATGCATAAGGAATTCTAGTTATACGTCCATAACAGTACCGTAATTGTTAACTTACATTGTTTCTTTCTCTTTTGAAAACAGTCATTTAAAATAGTTTGAAGTTGCTTCTTTCCTCTGGCTGCTGAACTGTCAAGTAACATTCCAAATATGAACTTAGAGAATAGAGCACAATGGTGATGAGAAATAACATGTGGCAGTGCAACTATTAAAAGTTTATGTTAATCTCTGCTGGCTCCATTTCTTTCAGAGAAAGTTAAAAATATTTTTAATCCATTGTTCTCCACTGTGAAGAGCTGACGTTTTTCACAGAAAAGCTGACGTTTTTCACAGAACTTACCACCGCAGAATTGGGATGTGATCATTATCTTTTTCAATTGTTTTCCATATCTCACCATGCAACTCTTTGATGAAACTTCCCTCTGCACCCATGAGATTTCATATGAAAATGAGACCCAACTTCTTTTATGTACTTGTTTATGTTTATTATTTAATCATTTATTATTGTCCTGCGAATCTCGTATGGAAAATATGCACAATTGTAACAATCCTGCACTGTTTGGTATTTCTTCTATCCTTTTTGGGTGAATCCCATGCAAGAAAGAGGTCATTTTGCACAGGATGTGTAAAAAATATTGGGCACCTTGCCATTTTTTCCAGAAAAAGAGACATGAAATGTCAAAGAAATCTCAAATAAACAAATATGCAGGAAATCTTGTTACAAGGAGAAAACAAGGATTTGTTTCCGTTCCTGTCTGAGAATAAGAAGATTCATGTCTCTCCTGTAGAATACACTTCATATATCCCACTGGTAGAATGCACTGCACATCCATAAGAATAACATGGGTAAGCAACAGAGACAGGATTTCTGCAACTACCAATTAAACACATGCAGATGAGAACACTGACCAAGTCAAAATCATACCATCAGCTAGACCCAGAATATACGGGGGTGAGTCTAGGGAGAGATAGAAAAAGTGACACCGCGTGTAAGTAACTAACAACAGCTAAGACCCAAGACAGACTCAAGTAACAAAAAACAAACAAACAATGTAACATTTAATAAGTGTTAGGAATATTAGGAATAAGTATTTTACATTATAGAAAAGGATCTGGTAAACCACCAAGTAGGAAAAGATTGAGGAAAGGTTAGGTAATGGATTGAGAGGAACAAATGAAAAAGAACAATGTGTAGCCTGTATAATTAAAATTGTAAACCGCCCGGAGAGTGCTTGTAGCGCTATGGGGCGGTATATAAGTCCAAAAAAAAAAATCTGAATTTTTTAAAAACCACCTCTTTCTACAAGAAATACTACAACTTGTAAAGTACAGGTATGTGATATTCAGCTTCAGTATCTTTCCGTAGATCACTTATGACTGGATAGTGAAAACAAAAACAATCACTGTAACTCATAGCTGGATGTGTCAATCACTTAACTGAACCACCCATCCCCCCCCTTCACTTATCCTTGATTTTTCAGGATATGAGAGACTGGGAAGAAACACATACATTTTCACAGACACTCTATGTGTTCTCCAGATTGACAAGGTGCTAATGAAACTCTGTGAGGCTTGGTCCACTTTGGAAAACTGAATCAGCCAGCTTGAGACTTCCATTTGGACATCACCCAGTCTTTCTGAATTAGCCCAACTTAAAATCATAGAATAGTGAAGTTGGAAGGGTCCCATAAGGCCATCAAGTCCAAGCCCCTACTGGATGCAGGAATACAAATCAAAAGGATATCTGGCAGGTGGTTGTCAAGATTCTCTTGAATGCTTCCAGTGTTGGAGCACTCGCCATCTCTAGAGGTAAATGTCTTACTGCTCTAACAGTTAGGAAGTTTTTTTTCCTGATATTCAGGAGTTCACAATGCAAGTGCACATCTATTACTGTTACTGTTTAAGCTGTGAACCTTACTGAGAATCTGAGTGTAGCTACCACCATAACCTTGAATATACTATATGCTGTAAAATATACAGCTAAATATAGTGGCTTAAATAAACAGCTTCTTAGCTCAGGTCTTCTTGACTGGATAGTGGTTTAGGTATCTTGTTGCAGAACCAGTGGCTGTAATTTCGATTTCCCACTGTGCCTTCTGTGAGTAGAGCCAGCCTATGTGGCCTTAGGCAAGCTGGACAGTCCCAGGACACCCCCCAGAAGAAGGGAATGGTAAACCACTTTTGTGTATTCCCTTATTGAAAAAAACTTTAAAAGGGCCACCGTAAGTCAGAATCAACTTTACAGCACACAGTTATAATTATTATAGCTCAGGTTTCCTGTGAAAAGTATTAAAACTATGGGGATAGAAAATATTCTGTCCCCTCCCCTTGTGTCAACCCCAACATTTCCTCCAAAATGAGGGGAAAAATTATTTCCTTTTGTAGGTGATGCTTGAACCCAGAATTTTAGTGGTCTACATTTTAACATTCCTTGTTGACCATTTTTGTTACTTCTCAGACACTGCATTAATTGTCAAATCTGAAATTCTTTTTTTGTGCACAGTGAAAACGTTGTGGTGCTCGTTCTCAGACCTTCTATTTGATCTCAAAAACATATGGGAGCACTTGTTTTAAGATCTCTCTTCAAAATGTAATCACTTTTTCGCTGATTACATATGTCTGGCATGGCGCTTTTCCTTCGAGATGTGAAAGAAGCTTGGGCAGCCTCCAAGTCTAAACACACCCTAATTTCAAAAGCCACAATCCTGAGGGCTCAATTCCTGTTTACTGAGGAATTAAAGTCTTGTTAAACTACAGTTACTAAATACATCATAGTATTTTTGTTTTTATGTTTTGTTTTTCACCAGGAAAAAACAACAAACTCCCAAACCATATACATTAACCTTATTTATCTGTATTGTTTTAGGATAGCAAAAATTTTACTGGTTCTAACAACACCTCATCTGAGTATTTCTCACATTTATTCCCCAGCTTGCATGCCTTTGCTACATAGTTATTGAATAAGCAGTTATGTTACATTAACACATTATTGTACAGTAATTATTATTACTTTACAATTTTTGCAATATATTTTCTTTTTCTTTTTTATGACATTGTTTTTTTAAAAAGCCAACTCAAAGATCCTTTAATAAAAGTTAATTTTGAATTTTATCTTCCTTAGTTAAGGCTTATGATTCTGAACTTTTATTATTCTGTAAATAAGGGCCTGATCACATGTACCAAAAGAGCACGTGTTAAACCTCTTTGGTCATTTTTTTTAGATTGTTCCATAAATTTACAGTCACATTATGCATGGTCAAGATGGATTCATTTTCATAGAAAAGTGAAGTTGGAATGGGCCTACAAGGCCATCAAGTCCAACCCCTTGCTCAATGCAGGAATACAATTAAAGCATATCTGCCAGGCGATTATATAAGTTTTTCTTGACTGCCTCCAGTGTTGGAGTACTTGCCAAATCCTGAGGTAACTGGTTCCACTGTTGTACTGCTCTAACAGTTAGGAAGTTTTTCCTGATATTTAACCGAAATCTGGCTTCCTTTAACTTGAGCCCATTGTTGCATGTCCTCACTATGGGATGATCGAGAACAGATCCTGTCCCTCCTCTGTATGACAGCCTTTCAAATATTTGAAAACTGCAGTTTATTTCCTGCAGTTTAGTTCCTCCTCATTGGGTGGGTTGTTTTATTTTGTACCATTGTTGTATCACTTCCTTCACTAGCGATACAGCATGTGTGCACATTGCTATCGATTTTTCCCCATGCTAGGTCCCTGAGGAAGGCAGCCACCATTATTGCTGTGCAGTTGTCCTGCAATTAATTTTTTTAACGTTTCCACAGCCAATATATTGATACGTTGATATACTGCGGTCTACAATTTGACATGGACAATCTCTGTGCAGATTGACTCCCATGTGGCATTTCTCTTGTTTACTGTTTGATGCCTCAGCCTACTGTCTCCCAAGTGGCACAGCGATACAATGGGCAATGCATTACTTCCAGAGTCTCAGGCACCGCTGATCAAACATTTTCAAGTGGAAATCCCTTTCCACCATATCGATGTATCAGTTGTGGATTTTTAAAAAAAATAAATTAAAATAAAAGGAGAGGGCAGGAACATCAGAAAAAAAAACTGATTCCATTATGTAGCCAGCAATAATGTTTCAAATAGGAAGAAATGAATCAATAATGCTAAAACGAACGGGAATGTTCCTGCTGGTATAGATTACCAAGTGAGTGCAAAAA